TGGGGACAGAAAACGCCAGCAGCACACACCGTGTTTCCGCATGGATTGGGCGTTGCTGTAGTGCTCGGAAATACCTGAACTCTCGTCTCTTCTGAAGTCCTGGCGATCCAGCCCGGAGTCTTGTCCCAGGGCTGGCCTGCAATCCCTGCCGCGAGCCCAGGAGCCGTGGCTTTGGGACATGTGTTTGCCGCTCCCGCGCCGGAATTGCTGGCGCAACGCCCGTAACAGGTTTTAAAGGAGTCGTCTCCGCATCCGGACCCATCCCTGTACCATCTAGGAGAGTTTACTTAGGCTGACCTGCTAAAGTCGAGCCTTCCCAAACCCATCACCCAAGGACACGCTCTAAACAGCTTTTCTTTAACTTTTTCTTTTCGTTAAAGCGGAGGGGGGAAGGGGAGGGGGCACCGATCAGGACTGATTGTGCCCCACGTGATAATCGTACAATACTTTGGCTGCAGTTCCTTCCTCCGCTCACCCGTGCTTGTTGCATCATGCCTGGACCTGGGCCACCGGCCGGAGAAGGAATGCTGCCACTCGGGTCTCTGCTTACGGGAGCTCAAATTCTGCCCGTGGAAAGTCTTGGAGGGAAACCCTCGCGTTTGTCAGACCCCTGCCCTTGGAGCAGAGGCACGGCGGGCATCTGCCCGGCATCTCTTATCCCGGCTCTGTAACGCTGCTGGCGAAGAGCCTCTTGGGACAATCGAGGGCTGGAGCTCACTGTGGGCTCTGCCTTCTGCTGCAGGGTCCAGCTCCTCCCTTGGGATCCCTTCAGGAGAAAAAATCAGGGATGAAGCTAAAGTTCAAAGCTTAATGCTTCCCAGATCCCTTTTTTCCCCAGACCTGATCATCCAGAAGGAAGAGGCTTTTAGGTGATGAGGGATTCCTCTGCCTGGTAATTCCTCTACCTCGAGGCAACGTTGCTTTCCTGGGATGTTTACTGTGGGTGAAAGCTACTCTGGAATACCACTGGGTCTCGCCCACAGCTCCCGGCCCGGCTTCCCCGTGCTTGGCGAGGCTGCTGGGTTAGTCAGGGCTGGCAGCCTTGCCTGCCGAGGTCTCTGCGGCGGGATGAGCTACTGGAGCTGCACTTGCGGGGCAGGTGGCGTGGGCCGATAACCTTATCGTGCACTTGTGCAAGCTCCTCTGAGTAGCTGTTTCCCGAACAGCGATGAAATCCCGCGCCTGAGGGGCCTTTCCCGGGAGCGGGTGACGGTGTGTTGTTGCTGTGATCACCTTCACGGCCTGGCAGGGTTTGAATGGGGAGGATTTTTTATCCCCCCCCATGGGGACAGGTTGCTGAGTCTCAGTCCTTGAAGACTGTCAAGACCAGAGTGGGTGAAGGCCTGAGATCTGGGAGCTAAAATCCAGCTTTTTCTCCCAGACTGGATAGAAAAGCACTTTATGACCTTAGGAACAAAGATGCGGAGCCAGAAGCTGTTGGAGGAATGTGGATTTGATTCCTCCAAGCCAGGGTCTGGAGATGGGCCCGTTCCTGGGCTGGCCAGGGCTTGGGGGTTCTGTGCTGTGTGTGGGGGTCACACTCTCCGTGGGCTGCCCCATCTGGGTGCCGGGGTCTGTCACCCTCTGCAGCCCTGTGACCGTCGGACCTGCTGCCGCCTGTTAAGGTGCTCAGGCCCTTGCTTGTACAAGCACTGGAAGTGTCCAGGGAGGAGGATGGGGGGGCCAGGGATCAACTCCGTAGATGTCCAGGCTGGCTCAGGGAACGGCCAGCGACTATTGTTCCAGCCTTCCACGGCAGCTTCTGAGTCACACAAGAAATATTTGCTTTGAGGCAGGTTTCATGCCGGGGTAAAGGAGGGAGAGGGGGAAGCGCCTCTGCCAGACTCTGCGTGGCCAGGGATCATCCCCCCTATACCCAGGGCAGAGCCTGGAGGTAGGGGCAGGGGTATATCCATTTATATCCATGGAGCCCTGTGCTGGTTGAGATCCCAAAGGCACTGTCACCCTCGGGGACGTGGGGTGCCCCCCAAACCCTGGCCATTCCTGCCGAGCATCGTCCCCCTGGGGCCGTGCAACCCAGCTGGTGCAGGAAGAGCTGAGCCAGCAGAAAGGTGCGCGGTGAGCGGGCGGAAACGGGGCCGTTGGCTCCCCGATCCGCAGCAGGATAACGCGGAAATGCTGGAGGCCATGCTGTCCTCCGGGAGCCCGGAGCAGCCCGGGTGTTTCTTGTGGGCACAGGAGCCACATACAAGCCTTGACATGGGGCCGGTTTCCTCCCCACAAACGCTCTCCCTGTTCCTCTTCCCTACCCTCCCTTTCTCGTCGGCGCTGTTGGTTCGCGCGCTCAGAAATTGGGGAAGAAAAGGGGGCCTGATGTTATCCTAAGGAAGTGTTAGCGAGCCTTTGCCTCGCTGATAACCCGGCACACAGGAATCCCTCTGCAAACCTCCTCCTTCGGCTTTGCTAAGGATATAACCACCCCGGTGCGGGGAAAGTGCCCTTCCCTTGCATCAGGGGGAGGTTTGGCTACCAGGCCCGGTGGC